CTTTCTTTGGGCTTTTGTTTTTTTTTTTTTTCTTTTTTTTTTTTTTTGTGTTCTTTTGTGTGTGAATGTGCATAGTAAAGCTTGTAAGCAAAATAACCACAAAAAATTTAACTTTTCTAGCTACAAAAATGTCATTTTTATTAGTCTCCATTGTATAGGCTTTTTGTACTTCTCTTTTTTATATTTGAAGCATAGACTTGTGCAATGAAAATTTAATGTTTGATAAAAATATCAAATTAATGACTGCATGATCAAGCTTTTAATGCCAAAAGCACCTTAAATCATTGATTTCATTGGACTTTCATCCTCCTATTGTGTAAACCCCACTAATGGCACATCTTGCTTGTATGTGTAAGAGTCTGAAAAAAAAAGTCAACTTTTGGCTGCTGGCCATAGTTTTCAAACATAATTAATATTTACAACTTGAGCCCAAGTTGAGCATTTTTATAAAGTTATACTGCTTTCCTTTCACCAGGGAATGCTATTCTTTTAATGCAGTGAAAAAAAAAAGATTAAGTTAATCCACAATCTAGATCCATAATGATGCCATTAAGCTGATATGTTTCTAAGAAAAAATTATTACATACATTCACCGTACGCAGAAATGTGTACAGTGAACCAATCAAAACACCCCCCTCTATCAATAGCGTTGTGTCCGGTGTCCGAACAGAATAAGCCCTCGTTTCTAAGGGGCACTTACATACACAAACCTGATTCCTATGAATTTACATATCTAACCTCTAAATTTTACTATTTACATTTTAAATACCTACATATTTCATATCACATAAGACTAATATCACTAACTAAACTTTTTAAAAGAGAAATACACAGTTTCATGAACAGGTAAGGTGGCATATCTGTAAAAAATTGAAGCTTTATAGGTGTTAAATATGTAAATAAATAAGAATTGCTTGGCATGTTTGTAAATCATCCTAATTTAAAATGTGGCTTTTGTTCCGACCTTTGACTTTATCTCAACAAATTGTTTTAAGACAAATGGATTAATTGGATTATGAAAAAGTATTTGACTTTTATGATAAGTATTACACGTAAAGTCATTATCCTCTATATTTAAGATAGTAAATTGAGAAAAAATGATATTACAAGGGCAATATTGTAATTTAATATTTTAATGATGTCGTCAACTTGAACTTAATAGAAAATACTCTGATAAGTTTGAGGTAACACGCATATGTTGTCACAATATTTTAAAAATGAGCATTTACATATGTGATACATGCCGCCCAATTCCTATGTATTAATATATCTAACATATGTAAGTTTGTTTTTTACATTTGTACCGCCCAAATCATTCGTACCATGTAAGAAATATCATCGCTTTAACTTTTATGAAAATGAAATGCATCATGTAGGTGACATGTATGTTACAATTGAAGTTTAGATATCATATATGTATAAAATTACGTGGTATGTATGTTGAAATAGGGCCATTTACGGCGCCATTCTTACGTGTTTATACATCTCACACCTAATTTTTCATATTTACACAAGTGACGCTCAAATCTTTAATATCGCATCAAAAAAATCACAGTTATTACATTCTAGAACTTAAATGCATAGAACTGAAGTGTTATGTACGTAAATATGAAAGTAATATCGCATCAAAAAAATCACTATTATTACATTCTAGAACTTAAATACATAGAACTGAAGTGTTATGTACGTAAATATGAAAGTTTAGGTGTGATACATGTAAATACATGAGAATTATGTGCTTCAATACCCTTGCATTCAATTAACCAAATATGTCATTTGCTTTTCATGCCATGTGCTAATTGCTGACTTTAGAAATGATGATATAATTCAATGCATGTTGCTACTGGGGGATTAGGTTATAATATTCAACAAAGATAGGTATAAAATTGTATCATAATAAATATATGCATGAAAAGTTGACAGTGATGTTAAAATGTTCAGTGGTATGCATGTAAATATGAATGTTTAGCTGGTAGATATGTAAATAAAAAAATAATAACAGTGTGCGTGTGTGTGGAATACAAGCCGAAATAGACATCTCTCAAATACACACGCTAAAGATTACATATTTACATATATATCCCGGCATCATTTAAAAATTAATTTCCTTATTATATCTCCCCGATCAAATTCTATTTTACATAAACAGACACTTAATAAAGCAACATTTTTAAAAGCCTGAAAACCTTCCAAGCTCGTTCAAACTTTTTACTAGCCGTTAGGGTTTCCTTAACACTGCTCTCCAATACTATATCAATGGCGTTCTCTCCAATGGGAAGAAAATCAAAACAAATCTTCTTCCGGTCTCTGCAACAAATCTTGTGAAGATTTTAGTGAAAAAGATCCAGAGAGGATAAGAAAATGTCGAGTATTAATGGAGGAAGAAGATGCGCAGCTTGCAAGTATTTAAGGAGAAGATGTTCTGAGGATTGCATACTTGCTCCTTATTTTCATCCTTCTAATCCTTATAGATTTGCTTGTGTTCATAAGATCTTTGGGGCCAGTAATATTGCCAGAATGCTCAAGGTAATAAATATGCCTATTATTATGAGGGGTATTTATATACATATCACACACATATCTTATATAACTATATTTCTAGCACGTAAATATTTATATTTGCATGCATGCCCCTTTAGCATCACATCAAAACTACCACCATCACTATCTCTTTAGAAGTGAAATAAATATTAAATGTAAATATAAAACTTTGGGTGTTAGACATAAATACATATGAATTGTGCTGTATGCATGCACATTTTTCTTATTATTTTTATTATCGTGTTAATTTAGCATTATTTTGAATACATATGCCATGATTTGTATAAAGGTTTAGGGTCATTGGCCATTGACATTATTGATGGTTGCACAAAATGTTTAGGACTTCATGGTAAGAAGGAACTACTTTTCATGAGGTGATTTGAGTTGAGAAATCATTTAAACTCAATTGCTATATATATATATATATATCAATTATGTTGCAGAGCAAATTGGTCAAATTTATCATATTAATTTTGCTCATATTTATATCATAGGTAATAGCATTATATGATTAATAGACTGAATTTTTGAAATTTCATTTTACTAACTTCATTTGAAAAAAAAAAAATCCAACATTTCGCATATAAAATAGTGTAACCGGACGTTCAATATTTATTCTTCAGCACTTACCAGCCCATAAACGGGCCGAGGCAGCGGACGCAATGTCTTGGGAAGCTTACTGGCGGGTGCAGGACCCAGTATACGGCAGCAATGCAATCATAGCCCATCTTCAGCACGAGATTCGTAAGGCCCAGAATGAGCTACAAATGATCAAAGCACAGCTCGCCATTCATCAGGTAATCCTGCAACAACACAGTCAGGCCCAGCCCAATCAACAGATGCAGGCCCATCAGGAAGAAGCATATCTGGCATTTGAAGACGAGGCATTCGTTCTTCCAGATCTGCCTCATACAGCTTCGGATCAATGTGAAATTATAAATTCAAGATGTACAGATGATGTTAACTAGTAATTTACTAGTCAGGCCAGCCAATTTCTATAAATTTACATATCTGACTGCCAAATTTTCATATTTACATACATGACTCAAAGCTTTGACATAACATACCACTATCACTAACATATTTAATGATTAGATATGTAAATGCACAAGAATTGTAATATGTATGTAAATTTTCCTAGATGTTATCAAACAAAAACATAACTTGATATGATAACAAAACAATCAATAATAGTCACTCAAGCAGGAAAATATAACAATCATCTAAAAGCTTCAAATTATACACCAGTGGTATCTAGTCACATAGCAGTGGATAATCACGTACTAGGGAGAGGAGCTGCAATAATAATTTTATCATTCCAGAATTTGATAGAATTGCTTCTAGGCACCACAATAAACAGCACAAACACCAAAAACATCAACTATGTGATGAAGATGCTAATTCCGCAGCCGATGGCTGGGGCTGCTGTGTTGCCGGCAATGGTGGCGGAGGCCGAGGTGCTGCCATCTGTTGATATGAGTTGTACTGCTGCTGCTGTTGTTGCTGCTGCTGATACTGAAGCGGCGGAGGTGGTGCCATATAAGCATAAGGCGGATAGTATGGTGGGTACTGTCCCCTCATTTGCATGGCAGGTCCTTGATACATCTGGGAGGGACCTTGCTGCATTTCCAATCCAACCTTACCATCACCCGACTCCTGCGACGAAGGAGCTTTCGCTCCCATCCTCTGTGGATCCATCGACGGATAGAATGTTCTCTCTGTCGGCAACGGAGGAGGAATGTTGAAGTAATTAAGAGGCAATTGGTGGTTAGGCTCTAGGGTTCCGGGAGGATGAGGTTGTTGGCTGCTCTGCTGCTGTGATATAACCGCCCGAGGGAGAAAGCCACCATGGGACACAAGTGCTTGGCGGGCGGCTTCGTCGTCGCCAGTTTCAACTTCTAGCTTTTGTGCTTGGGGCTTCCCCCACATTAGTTTAAGGCGGAGGCCTTTGATAACGAGTTTGTTGGAGAGCTCCTCAGCGGCTTTCTCGGCGGCTTCTCGAGTAGTGTAGGAGACAAAGGCACAAGCGCGTTGGGACACCATACGAACGGATTCAATCTCTCCATGCGCATAGAAATGGTCCCGAAGATCTTGCTCAGTGATTCGGGCATCAAGACCGCCGACGTAAAGTGTTTTTATGCTCTCGTCATCGGGTGGAGCGAGAGAGGACATCTCACCTGCCTTTCCCAGAAGTTTGAGGGCGACAGGATCATTCACACTGCAAAAATAGATGTGGCATAAATGAGAATCATCAAATGGATTGTTATTATTTTAAACAAACATAGAAAATTGAAAACAACCCTTCAATTGAAACTATTCGAACAAACTTCGCATCAATAAAATTCTCATCATTTTTTTGGTGTCTATAACATAAGAATAATAGAAAAAAATCCATAAGCAATGTTCTCAGATGCAACTGAGCAATAATCCACATGTGCAAAAAGAGTAGTTTTGTAGCAGGCACTCATTTGTTTTTCAATAAACCAGTCTAAAATAACTTTCAACAAATATCATATATCCTACAGCGTGCTAGAAAAAGAAACCTATAGTACCAACGAATTTTAATGCCTTACAGCCACATGCAGCTCGAGCAGGAAAAAAAAAAGAAAAAAAATTGTGAAGTAATATTTTATAAAAAGTTATGTAACGGATAACTATCAGTAATGATAATACTTGTTTCATCAAAAGACAACTAAGTTTTAATTTGAAACAGCAAATTCATCTTTTGTAATTTCAATTGAAACTATTCGAGCAAACTTCGCATCCAAAAAATTCTCATCATTTTTTTGGTGTCTATAACAAAAGAATAATAGAAAATAAAATCCATAAACAATGCAACAAAGCAATAACCCATGTGCAGAAAGAGTAGTTTTGTAGCAGGCACTCGTCTGTTTTTCAATAAACCAGTCTAAAAAAACTTTCAAAAAATTTCATATCCTACATTGTGCTGGAATATGAAACTCTTAGTAGCAACGCATTTTAATGCCTTACAACCTCATGCAGCTCGAGCAGGAAAAAGAAAAGAAGGAAAATTTTGTCAAGTAATATTTTCTAAAATGTAACGAATAACTATTAGTAGTAATGATAATACTTGTTTCATCAAAAGACAACTAAGTTTTAATTTGAAACAGCCAAGTCATCTTTTGTAATTTCCTATTAGAATAGTAGTTTGTAGCCATCAACCATTCTAAAGAAAAGTAAGCTTATTTTGAATTAGAGCTTATATTTGACTAAATACAAGAAATAAGAATCAGCATTTCATAAAGTAAAACAAATTTGCATACAATTGTCATTAATCAACATTCCGCAAAATGCAAATCAGAGGCAAGCAATACTACACAGAGGACAATCATTAATGCCTGAAATTAAGTCAATTTCTTTTTCAAGTATGCTTATATTAATTGCAGGCAATAATCATTAAAAAATAATTAAGAAAGACGATCGAATTTGATATATTGGTTAGCATTCAATGAACTGTTCTGCACAATTATAAAAAAGGTTATTATAAAATGTATTGTTTACTGTAACTTGAACAAAAACATTGGAAGTCATCCTAGAACATTACATAACATAATTAAAATAATAATAAAATATTACAAAAAAAATTAATATGAAAAAGACGTATGATGCCATAAAAACTATCAATTAGGTCCAAATCAGCCCACAAAAAATTCAATCCGCCGTAGCCCAATTATAAAGAGTCAATCAGACAACAACAAGAATAAAATGAACATTTTTTCAACTCCTTTTCTCCACCCTTTTTTTTTTTTGCAACTTCATTAATAATAAAAATCTTCATAAAAAATACTAACGCCTAATGAACCTTAATGCTGAAAAGAAGCCTTCATGAGATTTAAAAATGTTTTGTCATGCATTTTGAGTTGTCTAGTGCAACCAATACCTTCATTAGATTAATGAATCAAATACCTAGGCTATTCATTGCAAATTCTTGGTGGTGTACTTTGATGAAAAATTAATTGACAGCTCAATGGAGGTTGATCATTTTTATCACTTACATCAAGTTTTGCTTAAAATAACATGTGAAAAGTTGTATATCAATCTTAAAAAATGCACATTTATGTAGTCAAAAGTCATATTCCTTGATTTTGTGGGATCTTCTAAAAGCTTTAAAACCAGAACCATCAAAATTCAAACCATTCTTCTATCTCCAATATTAGGAGCTTTTATGTGTTTAGCTACTTCTATAAACGGTTTAGTAGCTCCATCACTGCCCATTTAATAAATATTCTTAAGAGAACAACTTTGTTTGGACAATTTTTTAAAACTTCAGTGGTACTAATCTGCAAAGCACCTAAGCTCTCGGATAACTACATGAATACTAAATTTTCATAAGAGGGTTCTTTGCAACCCAGTAAAGTTGAAGCAATAAGAAAATGCAAATTAGACCAAAACATTCCACAAATATCTAAATAATCATGGAAAAAAAAGTCAAACCATGACAGAATAAGATTAAAGCATATTCTCATGCATTTTTTGGCCCGTCGTAATTTGTGATTGTATTTTTCTTTTTTTTTTGTGATTAATTTCATTAGATGTAGTTATCTTTTTAGATAAAAAGATGTGAATTTAAATATTGTGTTAGGATTAGATTTAATATCAAATAAGTATATTTATTTTATAAATGACAAAAAGGTTTAAATGATTCACTTCCCAAATTATAGATGTATTCCAACTTAGTCCCTTCTCAAATATAATCCAATCCATTTCCCAAATTATAGATGCATTCAGCTTAGTCTCTTCTCAAATATAATCCAAAATAACCTCCGTTGGATTATTCTGGATCAGAGTTAATAAGTTCTAAAAAAAAGTATTTTGGATCAAATGGCTAAATCCAACATATAAGATGGTCTGAGACTAAAATGCGCCCCTCACCCCTTAAAATAGTTCAGGGGCCATTTTGATCTCTTACTCTCCTAAATTATTTTGTCCCAAACCTATAACATTATTTCTATAAATAGAAATAGCAATGAATATCAATGATTGAATGAATACAATTTATTTGTGAAGCCAATAAATTGTTCTCTATATCCAAATTGTGCATATGGATCACACCAATTCATCCTTGCTCTCGCTTCCATCCAGGTACCAAGTTAAAGGCCTTAAAAACATACTATGCAAGCTTAGAAAACCAACTTCGATTGATCTTGTAGAAGGTTGCAGGAAATTTTCAATATGAGATGCCCTTTTTTTTTCAACTAGTGTCTCTGTCAGAAACTTTTCACAGCTCTAGAAAGCTGTTGTAAGAAATGAGATTAGTAACAATGAGATAAAAACTTGGTTTCAAGTTTCAACATTGAGTAGAATGAAAAAAAGAAAAGGAGAAAAATGAAAGATATTAAAGGAAATGAAAAATTATGCGTGGAGATTGATTATGTTACAAGAATTTGCTCCATGAAACTCTCCCAGCGCTCAAAGGAATAAAAGATACGTGCAGAAGAAAAAAAAAATTAATATGCAGAAAAGGAAATCGATAGAATGGAAGAAGAAAATCATAAAGAAAAGAAATGGAGTAAATGCACGAAATATCTAATGATCTGGAAATTGCTATGAATCATTCTGCTCATATCCGTTACACTTCTAAACAGGCAGAAGAAAAAGATCTGGACAATAATATGAATCAGATTACTAGGACTAAGCAGTCAGTTTCAACAAGAAGGCAACACAATAACAACAACAACAACAACAACAAGAAACTTTTATCCCACTGAGTGGGATCGGTTACATAAATCATTTTCTTCATCAAGTCCTATTGAGGGCCATATTTTCATTTAATTCTAATAAATTAAGATCATTGTTTATATAACATGTCCAAGTCTTTTTAAGTCTAACTCTACTATTCTTAATATAAGTCGAATCTAAAAGATCAAGCCTCCTAACCGGATTATCAAATGGTCGACGTTTAATGTGAGCAACCCATCTAAGGCGACTGTCTTTAATCTTGTCTACCGTTGGCGCTACATCAACCCTTTTGCAAATATATTCGTTTTGCATTTTATCTGTGTAAAGCCACTCATCCACCTAAACATTCTCAGCAACAATTAACTCAAGTCATATGCTGCTCTTTTAAATGCAAATATTCTCCACGATAAAGTATTGCAGGTCCTACCATCATCTTACAAAATTTTCCTTTAAGCGGTATTTTTTTTATCACACAATAGGTATGATGCATTCCTCCACTTCAACCATCCAACTTGAATTCTACTAATAACATCCCTATCTATATCACCATCACTTTGAACAATAGACCCGAGATATCGAAAATGTCCACAACTTAATATGATTTGATCACCCATTATTACAACTCCGCCACTAAATCTATTACTACTAAAATTACATTCCATATATTCAAATTTAGATTTAGATCTACTCAAATCTACTCAAATGAAGGCCTTTAGACTCTAAAGTAGACCTCCAAAATTCAATTTTTTCTTGAACTCTTTCTCTAGTCCTATATTTATCATTAGCAAAAAGCATACACCAAGGTACATGCTCCTGTTAATGTCCAGTAAGAGCGCCCATAACTAAAGCAAAAGGATATGGGCTTAAAGTCGATCCCTGATGTAATCCAACTAAAATAGGAAAATACTTGCTCAATCCTCCTCCTGCTCAAACACAAATAACAAGTCTAGCATGCATATTTTTAATGACTTGAATATAAGTCATATCAACACAATTCTTTTCTAAATTCTCTAAAGAACTGTTGTTGGAATCTTATCATAAGTTCTTTTTCTGAATCAAGAAAAATCATATTCAGGTCCTCTTTACTCTACACTTCTCTATCGAATCCCTCAATAAATATATAGATTTCATAATAGACTTGCTCGACATAAATGCAAACTTATTATAAGAAATTTTTGTATCACGTCTTAATCTATAATATATTACTCTCTCCCATAATTTTAATGTATGACACATTAACTTAATTCCTCAATAATTTTCAGTTTACTCATAAAAAATAATTATTTATCTTTTAAGTGCCCTCATATAATTCTATGATAATATTTCATTATATTTTTATCTTCTAATTTTTCATCTTAAAATCCAACACTAATAATTGATGTTGAGTACTTAAATTTTCAATTGAAATGACCTTACAATCTTTACATTCTCCACAATCTATATTTCTCATAAGAAAATAATAAATTTTTATTTTATTAGATCCATTCTTATAAGTGATTAAATATTGATTTTCTTTCTTAAATAAACCATTCGTAATAATAAAATGCTAAAGCAAAATTCAATATGACTTTAATTTCTTCATTAATCACTCCAAAACTATATCTATAATGAATATTTCTAAAATTTTATAACACTCTATCAACATGCCTATTTAAATCTCGTCAAATAAAAATTCTTTCTTCAAGAGATTATTTGTATTAATTCTTCCAAGTCATTCCATTTTTTTTTTTTTTTTTTGAAATTAAATCTAAATCTACTTGAGGAGCATAAATACTAGTAAGATTAGCAATCTTAGAACAAGAAGATAACAAGGAAACAAAAGGGGACCAAAATACTATTCCTCCACTAAAACATCTTTTTAGTATTTAAAATAATATTAAAAAAATTTAGTAAGTCAAGTAATTCACAAATATCCTAATATTTTTACGCTTCTATTGAGATACCATAAGATCCTACTGATTTTTCGCCTATAATTTTCTTTAAACCTCATCAACTTCTTTTTTACTAATGCGACAATGAAAAAAATATATATTATTATTAACAATAATAAAATCATTGAAAGTCGATCGTATTTAAAATGTAATGTTTTAGCCAAGGTCAGTGGTAGGCGGCCAGCGAAGGGTGCGGGGACAATGGTCGGTGGGTTGCGGTGGTTCGCGGGCTGCAGTGGCAGGAGGCGGCGGTGGCCAACGGCGGTAAATGGAGGCAATGGTGGTTGGCAAGCGGTGTCTGAGGTAGTTGGCGGCTAGTGGCAGTGGCTGGCGACAAACAGCGATGGCCAGTGGTTGCGGTCGGCAACCGGCCAGCGGTGGGCAGCAACCCTCCACATTGGGGTGTATATTTGAAATCGGTCGTATCCAACGAATTCCAAATATAGAGAAGATTAACCATAGAGTGAATTTTATATTCATTTTTATTTTATACTTCATTTGAAATTTGGTGGACAAATGCCAAAATTCTTAATACCTATGCAAAAAAAATACAATGCATTGCTTTTTCTACCAACCAAACAGCCCCTAAATTATTTAGCTAATTACTTTTTCGTTGGCTTACAAAAATAACACCATCCTTAATGACTGTTGTTTTGTAAAACTTAAGATATTTAGGGCTCGGGAGTTGCATATTTAAATCAAAGCTTATCTACTTCAATTTATTTTTCACTTAGTAATTTAGACTTTATTTATACAACCGGGAAAAAAATACCTTTTGGCAAATGATTAAAAATAAATTGTTTATATCGATTGAATATATTATGCAGTTGGGAAGCGATAATTCTAAGTTATTATCAATTGATTATAGTTAAATTCATTGTAAATTGGACGATAACGTAGAAAAAACTAATAACTGCAAAACAAGATCAATATTGTAAATCTAATGCAGCATGAAACAAAGATAGCGTGAAACTGTTTTAACCTCAATTATTCTTTCTAACTTGATAGCATTTTTCTCTAATCAAATAATTATTTAAGAATATAATACATAATGTTAAAAGAATATGACTGAAAATATATACAAGCATCGTCACATAAATAATTTAAAAAGATTCATGATCAATTTGTGAAGCATGTTATGCTAAGCATCAAAAGAGAAAAAAGGTAAAGGAGAATGCATTAGGTTTGGTACAAGCTGCCCAAGAACCAGATTAATAAAATCTTAAATATATAACATGTTATCTGAAAGTACAACTAAAAAGAACCAAGTTGGTACGTATACATACCCATAATATCGATCCTTTATGTTTTGCTGCGAAAGCTCCCCAGTTATAGGCATTTCGTGACGATAAGGGCATTCAGCGCCTCGAGTACATTCTCCGCGGACATAAAAACTGCAAACATGTGCCCGATTTCTCTTGTAATATGGTGTAGTCCTTTGAAGCTTTAGAATGGTATCATTTGGACGTAACTTCCCATAAGAAGAATCGTAGTCTATTCCAGCTCTTGTCTAAACAGTGAACAAAACAAATAAAGGTAATAATGTTAGCTGATGGTTTTTTCTTTTCTTTTTTTAATGTCAATATTATCATCAACTTTAACAATAACTAAAATGAGTATGATATTACGCAACAGCTTGCTCTATTTAATGCCTGAAAAGTTTTCAAAATGATTGATTTAGTTAAGAAAATCAATTGGCACTATTGCAAATCCACAAACTTGTAACTGATATATTTATGAAAAGCAAATTCAAGCGATTATAAACCATTTCCTTAAAATGATACGGCACTGGTACAAGCACAAAATAGATGGTTCTTTTCTTTTTTAGCTTAATGTCAATATTATCATCAACTTTAACAATAACTAAAAAGAATATGATATTACGCAACAGCTTGCCCTATTTAATGCCTGAGAAAATTTCAAAATGATTGATTTAGTAAAAAAAATCAATTGACACTGTTGCAAATCCATAAAGTTGTAACTGATATATTTATGAAAAGCAAATTCAAACGATTATAAACCATTTCCTTAAAATGATACGGCAATGGTACAAGCACAAAATAGATACTCAATCAAAGGAATAATATGTCTGCTACGTGTTCATGTTGATGATGTAAAAAAATAATCAATCAACTTTTAAGCCACGCTACACTCCAAAGGTTTAGGGCAAAAGAATTTAATAGACACAAATTTTTATTAATCGGTTATTTCATAAGGTGAATCCTTAAACAATATTTCTTCAAATAGCAAACTTAGTGCATTAAACCTGCAACCATCAGAGCAAACTTAATTAATAACAACATCACATGTTTCCATGATGTATGCCAATAATTTGTTTGCAAGAGAGGTATTTCACTTCAAGGTCTTGCACTGAGATAGTTGCTCTTTTAAGGCACTTCCTAAACCAACCACAAAAGCAAGGGGAAAAAAAAAAGCCAAACCACATAGCTATTAAGAATTTCTACTTGATAATTTTCATACATTCCTGCAAATTTGCATTCGTTCTTGGATTCAAAAGAAGTTTGGACTTCATGCCAAAAAAGAGAAAAAATACTTTCAGCTGCTTTGTTATGCATGGCAAAGAGAATTTTAAGGTATTTTTTGTGCTAGAGAAGTGATTGGAGGGGTAATGTCATAGGATTGGGAGAAGAGAGAAATAGGAAACCACATTTTTCTGTGAAGAGAGGAAGACATCAGGAGAGAGGATACCATCACGGGAAGAGAACTGTATATATATATAAGAGGACAAGAATGACCGGAAGAAAAACTCATATTGATTCATTTCATAATCAAAATAACAATCATTCAATTCGTGTAAAACAATAGAGTTACTAGTTAAAATCAGACTAATATAGATTCAAAATTAATTCAAATCCAAGAAACTACTCAAAATTTTATCTAACTTACAACAATAATAATCCTAATAATTAGATCAAATAAAATTTAAAAAAATCCCAATATAACTCAAAATATTAAATATTTAGAAATAATCTATTTGTATTGCATCAATCACCCTGAGGCACATAGAATCCTCTTGAAAAGTTACGCAAATACCTGTCAACCTGCATATCTCGAGAAGAATCTTACAAGCATATTGTAATTATTTGATTAGCTTGATTCTTTGTAAAATAAAAAGTAAAAATAAGATACTCAATCTCGGTAAGAAAATGAGAGCATGATCTCTAATTTAGGCTCAGAAGCAGACTCTATTATAACCTTAGGTTTAGGTTCAACCAAAGCTTCAATTATTAATGATTAATCAACTAAATCAAATTCATATGCAAAACCAAATCAACACAACAATAATTCTTAACGACAAACTCAGCACTAGAAAAACACTTTTGAACTAGAAGAATAGGCTTCCAAATTTGATATAGATTTCTAAACCTTTGGAGCTTGATAAGTTGTTGTATAATACAGGTTATCATTATGATCAGATGGTTCTAAAATAAAATGTGATGGAAGATCATAGCCAAAACTATCATAAGAACCATAAAAATTGTGTCCATAATCTTCATGAGATACTTAAGCATCACAAGAATATTGATAGTGATCATATCCTCATGCTTTGTATGTTTTGAAGTTAATTTATAAAATCTACAAGACTGTTGATAATTATAATGATAGTCACAATTGTAATATAATTCAATGTAATCATAAATTATATGCATGATGATTGTATTGTTCCTCGACAACTCAATTAGTGTCTTTAGGCAATATTTTAAACAGTGATCATAGAACACTTATATAGACATCACTTGTATAATAAATAATGTTTAATGTCTAAATTATATTGATGAAAATGTCAACAAATTTACAACAAAATTCAAAATGAATAAAGAAAACTTTACAATTCCAAAGGCCACTTTTTAAGCTAATGATGTATCTTCATAATTGATTCATTTTACATAGGTCAATTCTCTTAGCATTATAAATGACATGAAGGTGTAGAATAGGAAATATAAGGGGATGAATATGAGTTAGCTAAGGCTTAAATATAGAAACCACAAATAAATTTAGCTCAATGCCAAATCGATGAATAATAATTAATTTGAAGTCAATTTGATGGACTCATAAAGAAGAATTTCTTTTTTATCTTTTTTATTAATTTTCTCACAAATTCGCGTTATTCCTTGGACTCGCCCATAAAGAAGCCAAAAGATATCAATTTGGGTTGACTAGTCAGACCCATGTCTGACCTAAATTTGACCAAACCCAAATATATATCATTTAAACCCGACATGTTTATTAAATGAGTTAAAAATCTAACTCAAAGCTGATCTACCTCAAACTTGATTAACCTGAATCCAAAGCATTTAACATGTTTAACATAATGGGATAAGTAGTATAGATCTAAAATCGACCCGAAAGTTAACCAGGTCAACCTGACACCAATTTTTTTTAGCGGAGTTTGGGTCGGGTGTCAGACCAAGTTTTGACATTCCTACTTTGGGATTTTTGCCAAAAGAAAATGATGCAAGTGGAGAGAGAGAGAGAGAGAGAGAGAGTTCAAAAATCTTGGTATTCCTTGAAGGGAAAAAAGCACGAGAAGACAGAATACACTCAAGGAAAAGTTGGTCATATAGAAAGATAGAGAGGAGTACTTGAGGAAAAGTTGGCCATAATGAACATATAAATCCCACATAATTCTGACTAAAGCGCCAAATTTATTTTCCACTCAAAATGATGGAGAGAACTATAAGTTTTTTTTGCAAATGGAGAGGTGGTGTAGATCATGGACAAGCTTAAAGGAGTTGTGGATCATGCAAAAGAGCTTAAAAGATAGGGTGAAGTGCTAGACATTCTTGTCAAAGATGACCCAAACAATAAGGTTAGCAGCCTCGACAATGTTGAGAAAGATCATAACTACAAATTCCCATATAAAATCCAGTGAGTCGGGCTCCAGCTCATAAAATGTGTTCATTGGCACCTTATTGCCCTTTATCGCCTCGATTGTGTCTTTAAGCCGGAGAGGAACTAGAGCTAGCAAGTCTACGATTTTCTCGTCACATTTATGGGACTCACCAGCCGCCTATTTCTAGTCAACAAAGGAGAATGAAAGGGAGGAGGGGAAGGTACTAAGGTCAATGCTATAAAGAAAAAATTGCATTTGGAGGGAAGAAGAAAATAAAAGCAATGAGGTTATACTGAGTTCTTTATCGATAGGAATAATATTGCTAACATTATCATGGATGGAAAGAAAACTAATGACAATTTAGTCAAAAGCAAATTGGGGCTGTATGTACATTTTTAAACAACATGAAAGATATTTATATATTTTTAAATCAGAAGGGGTCTATATACTCATTATAATAAATCAAATGGGGAGGTTTATAGTTTAGTTATCCCTAAAAATAAAGATAATACTAAAGATTAAATAAAATAAGGCTGAAATGAATTCTTTTAACTATATAACCTATATATTATAACAATCATATGTTTCAACTTTGCACCATTGCGAGTTTTCTTCATATTTTCTTGTTAAATATCTTATTATTGCTTCATTATTTACCTCCATTATTATTTATATTTAGTATTGTATGTTTTTAACCACAGGGAACCATATATATTTTAATGAAAAAACTAAATCTAAATTAAAAGTATAAGATTCTTTATTCCTTCATGGTTGATATTGAATTGTTATTGTATAAATTTCATATGCATTTCTTTATATCAAAATCATTATTCATGTCCATGGCAATTGTTGGTAAGTTAAACTTTCAAATAAACAGACTCAATGCTTCTCTCCAAAGCAAGTGTAAAAAAGGATTTATGCATCCTTAATCATGCATCACAAAAGGCAACTCCTATAAATTAAAACCATGACCTCTAAATAGTAAAGCCCTTGGGAGTAAACAAGTCGAGTTGAGCTCAAACTATCCCCGACTTGAGCCTAACTGATCAATCGAGTTCAAGCTCAATCTCAAACATGAGATCAATTCTTTTAAGTTTGAGCATCTCATGATTTGGCTCATGTAATTAGAGAATAAAATAAATGATTCTACTTCAAGCATTAAAATGATAAAAATAATGAGTAATTAATGAAGAAATAATGCAAAATTAGTTGACAACGAAGAAAGGAAGAATTTTTTTTTTAATAAATTCATACAAAAACAATGATTTTTTTTTGTATTAAATATTAATATTTTTAAATATGTCGGCTCGCAAGCAGATAAGTTGAGATCCAACTGGCTCAAGCTTGCCTAGTTAGCTCATCAAGCTTGGCTCAAAAGGAAATTTATCTAGCTTGCCTACTTAGCTCATCAAGCCCACCCTATAACCTCAAAGTGCTTTTCTTATGCATTGAATCGTATTTAGTGCTCGCATATCAACAATTTTGACATTCTATTAGGCTATATGATGTAGTTTAATTTTATAAACTCTCAATTTAAATTAAATATTTTTTTCTACTTTGTTACATGAATGCTTAATATAAGGAGTTTGCTCCAACAAATCAAAACATCACTTTTTATTGCACTATGTATTATGACCTTTAAAAAAAATTATGCTTAATTTACAAATTGCACGTTGAGAACTTAGTAAAAATAAACATCATATCATCAAGCAGTTAGAAAGACTCCCTAAAATAGATTTTATTTAATAGCATTTAACTAGTAATTCTTTGTTGACGGTTAATTAAACCTACAAGCCAATTTATATGGAAAAGGAAACTAAGATCTACCATATTGATGATCTATAAATTTTAAAAATCAGGCATGTCACCATATATCTATATATATAAACACATACTTGACACATAACAGCAAGAGATTAGCTTCAAAGGGGACAAGAATGCAAATACTGCAATCATTCAAAAGTTAGAAATTGAATTGAGGTACCTATGGCTGCAAACTAAGACTTTATGAAGTCCAAAGAATACAAACATCTCCTTCCATAAGAGAACTTTATTAAGAAAATGAGAAAAAAGAAACAAACAAAAACAGATCAATATTTCTTGTGGAAAGATTTATCCACAAATCTGGAGAAAGGAAAGAAATTGATTAGAAGTGGCTACTAAGCAATGAACACGGCATTGAAGTGTGGGCCACTAGCATTAGCTCCGTAAGTAGCTTCAAACTCTATAAAGTGGCGACTGCTGCTAACTGGAATTACAAAAGGCAAGTCAATGTAATTTTCAAATTACACATTCCACTCTTTGGCATTAATACTCTCAGCTAAAATGGGTTTCTCACTACCTTCACTTCACAAATCAACATCAACCATATGGAAAGATCGTGATTGCCAAATGAACAGATGGAACTTGTGCACAAAAACTAAAATGGATTATACACATTGGAAAGATATAGAACAATAATAAAAATAAATAAATTGCTGTTGTTGAGGAGACTAAAATCATTGAAACATGCAGAAAGGGCAAAGGATTATAACTAAAAGGAATACAAACAGTCAATAAAAAAGTACTACAAAAGTGGGTAAAGTAAAAAAGTACCATATTTACCAATTCCACACAATTTATGTTATTTTACAAATCACAATAAAGAATATTTGTTATTTACTAAATCAAATCAAGGGCATCTTACTGATCAAATGAAGGTCAAAATCATCAGGAATGAAAAGTTGGCATGAATAGAAGCTATTTAAAAAGGTTTGAAAAAAAAAACTTTAGCACCTCTTGAATCACTCAGCATTATCAAATGGAAAATGACAATTCATAAAATCAACCTCAAATAGTTACAATAAGGCTGAAGATGATCACAAGAATGGCCCGTATTACTGATTTCAATAAGATAGTGTTTCCCTAAACAAAAAAATGCTTATCATTAAACATAGGATTAGAGGTATGGTTGGCCTCATGCTGAGGTCATGCTCCCATTAATTAGTTTTTTTTTTTTTTTTTTCCTTTAATACATAGAAAAAGAAGGCAACATAGTTTATGATATAAAACTTCTTAAACATGGGAAAAGTTCAATTAAGAAAACCATGCCTCAGTTTAATCCAAACTTATTAAACGTAGTTTAACCAGAACTAACAGTCATAAATTATCATTTTGGAATGAGCATCACTTTAAATACCTCGTCTCAGTTGATTTCAGGAGCATCTATATGCCTCTGATTCCAAATCAGTAAGTTTAAAAAAATATCAAACACATGACATAAAACAAGCAACATGCAAGCCAAATCAACAACTGTCACAGAACACAATCCACAACCATTGTACAAACCTATTGCATTTGAACAGGAAAATTTATGATGGCATACAGCCAGATATCCAATAAAGTACAATAACCATATCAAGCTATGGGTAAAAAATAAAAGTAGACAATACAAACCAATTAAGTACAGTAACCATATTTAGCTGTAGGTACAAAATAGTAGTAGATAATACAAAATTGAAATTTTGAGCTATAAAATTATAAATATAGCAGGTAGCAGGAATGAGACAAAAGATATGATAGTGTGGGCATCCTTTTAAAAAAAAGGGTATTTAATAACACTCAATTCCTATATTATTTACATATCTAACAGCTAAACTTTGTTTTTTTACATTTATACCACCAAAATCTTTCATATCACATCAAAAATACCACTATTTTAACTTTTAAAATGTGAATCACACCATTTCATGCATAGGTATGGTGGCATATAAGTACAAATTGAATTTTAGGTGTTATATATAAAATTACATAGGAACTAAGTGGTATATATGTAAATCTTCCTTAAAAAA